CGTAGTCCATGCATGAGTTCACCATTACAAATGGTGGTGTTGGTGCAACCACTGTCCATGATGACGTGATCGAGCAAACCAAACGGATCTCTTTCGATTCTGCGGCTTTGAATAAACTGCATACCTCGATCTGCTTCAGTAGCAAGATCAGGCAAGTCTTCATTTTTACTAGCGTAGTGCCAGTCGGATTGAAGTTCAACGTTAGTCGTTCCAGCAGGACATGGAATAAGAAAGACATTTGACGTATCAAAATAGCCAGTCTTCACAACTTGCGGAGTGCGAGCTTGAGTTGCATCAAATCCTTGGCGCATTTGAGCACCACTGAAGCCTTGTTGGCTGAGTTGCATTCCATTGAACGCAATTTCACCGTTAGCATTCATTGAATAAGGGACAGTAACAGTGCCGCCACCTTGAGTTGGAATCTGCATGAGCTGCATTCCCGAAGGAACTTGCATCATTTGATTACCTGTAGGATTTTGTATCATTTGATTACCTGTAGTAGCAGCAAGTCGTAAAGGTGTGTTAACGCTTCCCGCAACACTTGATGCTCCACTTGTGGATGCTGAAGCTTCAGGAACTATAGCTGGAACAGTAGCTGGGACAGTTGCTCCAATCTGATTAAGATTGAGCTTCTTCCCGTAATCAACATAGTGTTTCGGATGTTTCCATTGAGTCTCTGGTAGCAGTCTGTCTGGGCATTTTGGAGACATATGATCCTCTTTGCCACATACATAACATGCCGCCTTTTTCTTTTCATCCTTTGGTTTACCCTTCCCTTTACCTTTACCTTTATTTGGCTGGTCTTTTCCTTGGTACAGGTTCACTCCCGGATTCTTGATCACATCCATGTGAATCTTTAACATATCTTGTGCTTTGCTGACCGTCTTTGGATAATAATCCACTTCCCTGCAATAGTTTGTCTGAAGATCCAGCATCAGAGGAGCTGTTCTCGTTTGATCGCAGTTGCACAGGAATCCTGTTGCAAGAACTGCTTCAAAGATATCATCCTTGAACTTGTCTCTAGCAGTAGTATTGGTGCTAGCAATAGCAGCATACGCTTTCGTCTTGACTGCAAAATTTTGGAACCAGGCAACGCCATATAGATCTTGCATGACTTCAGCCTGTCTCAAGAATCGTTCCTTGAAATGCATCAAGTTTTTGGTTGTTCCTTGCTTCATAGCAAAGAACTTTTGATTTGCTTCCCAGAAATCCACGAAGTCATACTCAGCATCAGCACTCTTCTTCATGAATCGTTCAATACGTTTCAAGAGTTCGATTGGATCTTCAAGATTAGTCGTGAAATCGGCTTCACCTCGAAGCTTGATATCCATCGCCTTCGTCACAAACTTCAGCATGATGTTTGATTTGACGGTTCTCTTGCTCATTTCGAAATAGGCTGATCTTCGCATGTTCTCGTCGAGCTTTGCAGAATAGAGAATCTTGTTTTGAATCATCTCTGTTTCTCTTGCAACAGCTTCAGTTTGATTTGGAGCATTCAATCTTGGAGCAATCGCATTGAAGTCGATTGACTTTCCATCTCGAATTGATTTCACCATGTCTTTGGAACATTTCATTCCAGAAGCTTTCTTCGGCATCTTTGTACAACGATCTTGCCTTTCCATCATTTTCATCCTTTGTAGATAAGGCAGTGCTGTTCTTGACGTGAATTTGTTTTGTTGCCTTTTGTGATTGAATGTTAGAATAAAGCAAAATGTGCTCTATTGTGAGTGCCTTTAGCGCTCAGAACAAAATCTCTGCAATCTAAATTTGTAATCGACTGTACAACACTTTCACGACAATAGTTCTCCTGGGTCTAGGTATACTTTGAGTGAAATTGTTCCTATTTGATTAATGTTTGGCTTGAATTGATGATTCAATCACAAAAGTGAGTTCAACAATTTTTCCTTGGAAAATCCCTTGTTTACAGAACTTGATTCGACTTCTACGACAATTCTGTGTTGAATGCAGTACTTTGGGACATCTTGCATTATTCCCTACTGCATCGTACACAACATCAATATTCCACTTGT